TGCTGTAGGATGGGCCGCTATTTAGGAGCCAGTCAAAGTGATCGTTTGGGTTGTTTTTGTACCCACAGAAGGTGTTGGAATCAAAGTCACAGCTCAGATCTGATAACTTGATACCCGAGTCTGAGGACGAATGAATAGCAAAGCTTGGTCAGGGCTGATTGCAAAGGCTAAACCTAGCTTAGAAATGGTTCAGGTGTTTACATACCCCTGATTTTGACTTCAGTTTTCCACTGCAAGACCATTCGATATTGGTGCTCAAAAATAATCCAAATGGTATTAGATTACAGATGAAAAACTGTGAGTTCATCATTGATGTTGAAAAATCAAAGCAGCCTGTTTGATGCAATCGATGGCATATAACAGGCATTTCCTCATCTTTATGCAAATTATATGCATCTGAACTGAAAACAAGACATTTGAAGCAAGATATGGGACGGAGAGAACCCCATTCCCGCCTTGGTGTTGGTTATTGTTTGATTGGAATCTCAGGAATTCTTTACAGCCTTCGGGGGGGGATGTGTTAGGTAACAATATTCTAGAGTGTGTATGGGGATTGGACAGGTAAGAGGGGGTACCCTTCCGTCCCATATCTTGCTTAGTATAAACAAGGCTATCGTCTGGGACCGTGGTTCCCAAATCCAGAGAACGATAGGGATAGAATAGGGAACGATAGTCCAAAAGCAGTGGGGTACAACGAGGAAGGTACGACGTTTTGTGCCCGTAGGCCTATTGTGCATGTTTACTTGGGTAGGAACCAGTTAATCATGCACGCTTTTTCTCGTGTTTTGTACGTGTGCTTCCACTACACAACTTGCGTGATATGGTGTCACTTGCTGTACGTTACCGTTTTCTATCCGTACCTGAGGACAAAGTTGGAAAAGAATGCACATGCAGAGCAGAATACTAGTGCGACACGCGAGGTTCACACGTATTATCCCCTTTTTTTAATGAAAAGTGAATTTTGATTTCCAAAAGTTACTTTGAGCCACCCGCCCACTATTTTGAAAAACCCGAACATTTTGAATGGCCCCGAAGCC